GAATACCAGGACATCATAATCTGGCTAATAGTATTATCAATTATCTTCCGAGTAACGAGATACTAAATGCTTGTAGAGATACTAATGCTTATATCGGTATAGGATACATGTAGTTATCCCAATACTCTAGATTGCTAACAACACATATAATTTATAAAAAACACGCGAGATTTCATTATTATATACTAATACGAATTAGAATATATAATTCTTAAAAATTTGCATTTTTAAAATAATAGAAAGATGTACAAGTGAATGTGATTTCGTTTAGCAGTTAATAAGATTGTAATATTTCTTTGAGAATCTCTTTTATCATTTAAAGTTTCATTTATTTAAAGTTTAGATTCAAGCATTAAAAAATTTAAATTAAGAAATAATAAAAATTGATTACTATCTCAAAGAATTTTCTTGGATAAAGGGAGCAAAGAAAAAATGACATTCTTTTTTTACATTACATTAGATTTAATATATTATTATAATTATAACATTTTAGATATTAGATTGTAAAAAGTTTCGTTTTCTTTTCAAACTTATCAAAATAAAATACAGAAAGGAATTTCAAAAAAAAGGAAGAAATATTTTTACATATCAATATGAAAATATAAATTTGCATAATAAATTCTACTATGTAAATTCAATTAAAGCAATTTTTCTTTGATCCACGAAGAATCGAAACAAAATTTCGAAAAAAAAAATCCCCTTCGAAATTCCATCGAACGAATCACCCTAGTGAAGTTTAAAGAACGTCTCGCCGGATTATCCTCGCTCGCAGTAGAGTGGCAATAATTTAGGGTAGACAAAGTTGAATGGGCGAACAAACGATCGATCGATCAATCAATCAGTCGTAACGTATAGCGGAGAACCAGCTTACCGGCTACGATGGTAAGCCGAGTCGGGCTTTGGCTGTTATTAAAGGCAAAGCTGAGCAGACCGATACACACGGAGGGCTAGAGCCACGGGGAGAGCAAACTCTAACGACCTGCCTCGACTGACCCTTCCGAATTCTCTGAATAGTTTCAACGTGTTACCGATCGTGTTGCGGGCACAAGAGTACTAAGCCTTCGCGTATCCCTCACGAATGCCAAAGGCTGTAATTGATCGACGATACAAAGTAATTGGCGGTATAGCGTTGGCGTCGGATGGACGTGTGTCAAAAGTGTGCATCTCCTTTCGCGAATATATTGTTTCTCTACACGTTAGCGCCGGTTAGTTGTACAGAGGTGTTGTATAGGAGTTGCTCCGTATGTAAATCGATGCCAACTTGCGGAGTAGAGTTGGGGGGATTTTAATGGGGTGAAAAGTTTTTAAGCAAGGAATAATCAGAGAATACAGCGATTGTAAAGAGTATTTATAAAGACTATGCAATATTTATACATTATTCTTGGAAAGTTTTCAAAATCGTTATAGAGAGGCACGTGAATTTAATTGATTATGTTGTTAGGTTAGTCGTTTAATTGGCATCCTCTAGAGAAAATTTGTATATTTTTTTTTTTTACATATAATTACAAACATATCATTATTCTCAATCAGCATAGAAAAATTTCTGTTTCTATTCGATTCTTTAATACGGTTGAGAAGTATGAGTTTTCTGTTAGATGTTTATAAAGATGCTCGCGTTATAGGGAACATGGGTCTAGGAATCTGTCTAGGATAGTTGCATGTGCAAAGCTTCTTAGGAATAATAAATTAATAGCATAGTAACGAAATTGGTCGCTCATACAATCTTCTACGCAAACAGCTAGGCACTTCATAATGTTGCGAAATCTCGAGAGACGATCAAACGTAGCTTGTGTACAGAGGATATATTATGGGGTTAGACTCGTGGCGATATTCCTTGTAGGAGATTGCACGAAACATACTAAATCTGCCTACTGTTCTGTTGCTATTTAAAGCAAAAGATGATGTTGTGATCGAGTTCGTTCTGAGGAGTTAACGGATGACTGAAT